TTCTGCCCCTTCTGCTGTTTGGTCCCCCACCTCTACATCTTCTTCGCTGCCTTCTTCACTTGAGTTTTGGCCTTCTTCTTTATTATAGGGCTGAAAAATTATTGAAATATGAAGTGCTTTTTACCTAATGCAAAAATTAACCAATAAAAATACTTTCAGAAAGGCTCAACTATTGACAGGAATGTACCCGATGGGAATAATCAAAAATCAGTGGGAAAAATATTTCAACACTTTGTTGATAGCTTCACTATTTGAAAAAATTACAAGGATGGAGGTAGAGAGCAAGTTTAATAAAAACAAATTCCAGATAGAATTTAGTCCAATGGAAAAAAAGAAGACAGAAATAAAAGAACTATAGAAGAAGAAAATAATCTCAAGATGGGGACGTCCTTTCCAATTATAATACCAAAACCAAAAATCATAAATGAAATGAAAACATTGACAGACCAAGCAACATAAAAAAGAAACATGGTTGAAGGTCAACAAAGAAAATATCTGTCACAGGTTTCCAATGGTTAATAGCCTTATCCTGAAAATATTACAGAACTCGTATAAAGCAATACAATTTAAAAAAATCTCTTAGAAAAATGGTCAAAAGAACTACAAAAGGCAATTTATAAAGTAAAAGTAGAAATGGCCGTAAAGCATATGAAATGACGCTCAGTCTCACTGGCAGTACAATGAATGCAAATAAAAAACGAGCCTCTTTTTGCCTACTACACTGGCATAAAGATTGGGGGCAGCCATCACAGGTACATGGGTGGGGACACAAGTACGCTCAGATGCTGGGGACAGAAGTACAAATAGGCATAACTTCTCTGAAGGGCAAAATGGCACATCAAATCAAAGTATAAAGGCATAAACCTTTTGAACCAGCAATGAGCACCTAGGAATTTATCGGAAGGGGATAAATCAGACAAAGATGTCTGTGCAGACTGAACACAACACAGGCTGGCACCTTCTACCACCTAATGTCCACCTCTTTTGTAACAGAATCCCTGATTTTAGCAATGAGCCAGCTAAAAGTCTACATGTTCCAAACACTCCTTGCAGCTAAGTGTTACCAGTAGACTCAATTCTGATCAAGGAGATATCACTGGAAGTTTTTTTGTGTAAATTCCTGGAAACCATCTTTAAAAGATAGCAGCTCTTGTCTTTTTACCTCTTATCTCCCTTTCTTCTTTCACTTCTGGGAATCATTAAAAGATCTAGCAGCCAACTTAAACTAAGAGATAATCCTTGGAAGGGCTGCCTCCCACTTAAGTATACAGAGAGAAATATTAGATGGGGGCTCCCCCATCTTTTGATTGCCGACCTCCACACTTCCATGCATAAGAGAAATATGCTTCTACCTTATTTAAGCCACTATTTGGGGGGGATCTTTTGTATCTCATAGTGGAAGACTAAATAAAACCTCCATAAAAACCCCTAAAGGACAGGGTTTAGGGAGCTTTCCAGGTTGGTGGCCACTTTGAAGTGTTGTACTAGTGGGCAGTGGAAGTCTGGAGGGGGTTGTCCCCAGACCAGAAAGGGTACAGGTAGGAAGATCCAGGTCCCATCCCCTCCATGTCCCAATACCTTGTCTATCCACCCCTTGCATTTTGGCTGTTCCTGAACCGTAGCCTTTATAATAAACTGCTAAACATAAGTAAAGTGTTTTCCTGAGTTCTGTGAGGCCCCTAGCAAATGATCAAACCTGAGGAGGCGTGTATGGGAAGTGAATTTACAGCTGGTCACTCAGAAGTACAGGCCCCTGGGACCTGTGAATGGCATCTGAATTAGGGCAGCTTGTGGGGTGAGCTCTTAACCTGAGGGATCTGTGCTAACTCCACAAGTCAGTGTCAAAACTGAATTGAGTTGTTTGGACAGCTGGTTGGTTTCAGAGAACTAGTGTGGAAAAACACATATTTGGTGTTAGAAAAAAATCACACTAGTAGGGTGATAAATGGCATCAGAAAAAAAGGCATTTCAGTGTAGTTATGAAAAAATATAAAAGTACATTTGTAGTTTGCATTATTTTTCCACTGGACAGCACTGATCCAGACAGATATCTACACATATTGGCACAGAAAATGACCATGCTATATACTGAAATATTAAAAAAGAAACAGGTTGCAAACATACATGTATAGTATGCTTACCTCCTAGGAAAAGGATCGTATATTAGTGGAAGTTAACCCAAAGTTAACGGTGGCTTTGCTTGACAACAAACAATAAAATCCTATTAATTTTTATGATTCGCATTAATCCACAAAGCGCTTTCATTGTGTCATAACCTTCTAGGTCTTACCTGCACAAGGGCACTTCACGGGTCCCCATGACTGTTAATACACAAGACTTTCCCATGCCCTGTCCCTCTGAAATTAAATTCTCTATCTCAACTCATTCACTAGTCACCTGATCAAAGAAGAGGGCTTACTATTTTATTAAAAGTGAAAAAAAAACCGTTTTGAAAAAAGGGAAGAATAAACAAAAAAGACTAACCTCCACGTAGGTTCTGGGAATGAGACCTTTGTTTCCTTTGGCATTCTTAGCTATCCACCAGCCATCAGGCTTTTTTTCCATTATAAGAAGAATTTCCCCTTTCTTAAATCAAAAAAAGTAAAAAATTTTAAATGCAAATTTACCACTAAGTCAGGAATTGTCAACATTGAAACTATTTTCAGAAATAGAATAGCATTTAATTTCACCATTTTACTACCAGGTAAGTCTGACAACATACTCTCACATGACTAATTGCCTGTAAATCATAATTTTTACTATTTTATTAAAATAGATTCAGTCTTTAAAAATGGCATCAGGAATATGTAATATAGGTATACAAAGTTTTCTCATTCTGTCAGGTATGCACACCTATCCTTACGTCACGTTCTAGTCTCGTTTCTACCTTAAATGTAAGGTCCCCAGCTTGCTGAGCAGTAAAATCTCCAACAGCAATGTATTCTTTCCTTGTGGCCTGTTGCTGAGATCCATGTTCCTGTTTCTCTTCCTCTTCCTCTTCTGTTTCTTCTTCCTCCCCACTACTTTCTTCGCTTTCCTCTTCATCATCATCTTCTTCTTCAGCTTCTTCGTCTTCTTCAGTAGAATCGTCATCTTCCTCTCCTTCAGGAAGTGCCCCAATTCTGTGAAAAATAATTCTGTGATAAGGATCACTTGAAGTAACATATAAGAACAGATCAACATAACTTCTATGTATAGAAGATCTTGTCCATATTTGGAAATAAGTGCATAACTCACATCCCTTTCATGTTCTATTGTGTTCTTTGCATTCTTTTTTCTTTTTGTGCATATTTGAGAGGGTTTTTTTTTTTTTTTCTCTTCGGGTTCATTGATCTTTTCCTCTATTGTATCCAATTTTCTTTTAAACCGTTCAGTAATTTTTTTTCATTTCATATTTTATATTTTTTAGTTTCAGAATTTTCATTTGGTTTCTGTTAGTTGCCTTTCTCTGCTTGATTCCTCCCTATCCATCCAAGCTATCCATCTTTTCCAACAAATTCTTTAACAAACTGAAAGTAGTTGTCTTATAGTTCTTATTTGCTAATTTTCACATTTGGGTCATCTGAGCTTCTGCTGATTATTCTGTCTCTTTATTATAAGACATTTTGTACCTTTTAGAATCTGAATCTGTATTTAATCAGACTGAGAAATTTCTCAGCCATTATTTCATCAGATATTTTAACAGTTGTATACTGTTCATTTATTTTCTACATTTGAATAATCTTAAAATACTTTGCTTTTTTTCTATTTCATCCTTATTTTCTTCTATTTTTAAGATATTAATCATTATTTAGAAGTCCTTATCAGCTAATTGTATTATCTAGTTCAGATCTAGGTCTGCTTTTATTTTTTTTATTTTTATTTTTTTTTTGATTTATTTTCTGTGGTTGTTATATTTTATTTTCCAAGTAATACTGATTAAAAATATTTACTTTTAAGTACTTTTAAGTCCACAGTTTAGCACTCTTATTTGTATGGCTTTAAAAGTTATAGCACAAGATCTTTACATTAAGGATCAGGGAAAAAGATTCATTCAAAACGAAGCCTGATATATTATATACATGTTTTTCTCTGTACTTTATTTTAAATACATTAATTTTTAAACGATGCTCCTTTTTTTCATCTGGTGGTAAAATACTAGTGCAACTTTTCATTTAAAAAAAAAAAAGTTTACCACAGATATAAATGAATTTTTCCAATCAGAAATGGCCCTTCAGATACCATTAAATGAAATTTGTCACCTTAACTTAAGTTACCAAGAAAAAGAATTGCTAGTTGCCATTATAAGCAAAAACAAACTACTACAGCATCACCTACATTGCTCCTTACAACACAAACTTTGAAAGAACCGGAGACGTTTTATAGAAGTTTAGTTGGTTTTGAAAAGGCACATGGGTGTGGTTTTGTTTGTTTTTGTTCTTGTTTTTTACATTCTCAAAATTTTGCCACCACCGTTTCTGTTGCAGAGATGACATTTGTGACTATCAGTATAGACAAGAAGTTTGTTCAAACTAAAGAAAGCCAGAAGCCAAAATTTAACTGCACAGTAACAATATACTCTTCTTCATGCAGCCTTGTGTTTCCTATATATTCAATGTTCTAACATGCATTAGAATACACAAATTTGTATTCTAATGATTTTATGTTTGATTTTACAACATGGAAAAAAAAAATCTGAGAAACGACATGACCTGGGAAAGAGAGGAGAACCCTTATCATCACAATGAAAATAGATACATTCGTACCCAACTATATAAGAAGAATATAATCCATTTAAGTTTCCAGAAATAATACTTCTCAAAGCTTCCCATTCACTTATGGGAAAGAGCCCTCCTATCTAGCATTATGTGTGTGTGGGGGGGTGGGGGGACGGGGGGTGAGCGGGGAATCAGTTTGTTTCAATAGAAACAGTTCGGCACAACAGAAAGACTTTAACTTTGGTCCACTTGTCTGTTACCTTAAGGACAGTCACACTGCCCCATCATCAAACACCCAATACATTAATTTAAAAATATATTCGTTATTTCATTCTAAAACAGGCATAGGTGTTCTGTTTTCATTCCCTGCCCTTTCAGCCTGGGAATCCACCGCTGTTCTGGTCTCTAAACTAGCATCTTCGTGATCTTCTCTGGCAGCGTCAGCAGCATCTGCTTGGGTGGGCTCTCTCTCCTCCTGGTTTAGGATTTCAGGGGTCACTTGTTCCAAGTCGGCTTCTAGAAGTTCAGTTTGTACTTCCACTGGCATCTGATTTACCCGTTCAACATGCAGCTCCTCCACATGTACTTCAGTGCCTTCTTCAGTCTGAATTCGACCCACTTCCAGATAACTCACCTGGACCTGCTCTGGAAGCTCACTCATATGTGAATCATGTACTTGGCTGTCCTGGAGCAGATCTGGATGGACCTGTTCCACAGTCACTTGTGCTGAATCCACTTGAACTTGAAGCAATGGTAACACATGCACCTTCCCCACTTGTTCTATAATAGTCATTGAGGTAACAGGTTCAGTTTGCACACGTGTTTCTACTGAAAGAACTTCTTCGGTTACCAGACGCTCTGAAATACTGTGAGTATCACTGAGATGCCTCCTTAATTCATTTCCTTGCATAAACCACAAGTCACATAAAGTACAATGGTTGGGTTTATCTCCAGTGTGTATTACCAAATGATCTTTAAACTGGTCCCAGCTGTTAAACACACTGTTACAGACCTGACATTCATAAAGCTTCTTTCTTCCCTTTTTTGCCCCCACTCCAGTTTGGCACGCAGTCAGGTGACATTTGAAGGTGCTATTTCTAGCAAATCTTTCATGACAATTTGGACATTCAAAAGGTTTTTCACCTGTATGTTTTCGAAGATGCTCTTTAAAATGTCCAAAGTGGTCAAACTGTTTTTCACAGTATTGACATATGTGAATTTTTTTCCCAGTTCTTTGCTTCTTACTGACTCCACCTTCTTCGAGGTGGTAACAGTTGAGGTGCTGTTTCCATGCGCTCTCCCGAAGATACCTTTTATTGCATATTTCACACTTGAAACTCTCAGTGGAGTGTGATTTCATGTGTTCCTTAAAATGGTAAAACAATTTAAATGAACGGTTACATTTCTCACAATGGAACAAGTCCTTCACATGTGACAGCTGAAGTTCCACAATTTCAATACATTCTACCTGTTTGCTTGTGGGGTCAGAGGCACAACCATCTTCTTCTTTGATCTGCCCTTTCCTATCACCTTGTCGGTACTTGCTGGTAATATCTGCCAACAGTGCGAGGGCAGAATCATCAGAGGAACCTGTGCTCTGAATGTACTTTAAGGACTGCTTGGCAGAAGCCACCTCCTCCAATGTTTCGATGCCTTCATCTTCAACTTCGATCGTGCCTTCGGCAATCTCCACCTCAATTTCAACAGGTTCCGACTCTGCAGATGGCAATGACTCCGTGATAACATTTGAAGTTTCTGCAATCTTTCTTTTTTTTGCTTCACTTTTTCCTGTGGTATTTTCCTCTAGTGGAGCCGAGTTTTCTTTGTTCCTGACTTCAAGGGCTTTGATAGCTTCTAGCATTTGTAGAAACTCTGCTGCTTTCCATACATCATTGGCTTCTTCTTCTCCTTGTATCATTAATTTTGCTGTATATGTGAACTCAATTAAATGACGGAAGGCCATTTTACTAACACCTTCTATCTCCACCAAAGGTTCCTGAGTAAACTCCTGAAAGAATTTGTAGAAGAACTTACTGCAAGCAGCCAAAACAGCTTTGTGGGCCTTAAAATGGTGTCCGTCGACAATCAGGGTGATGTCAGTAAACCGATCCTGTTCTCGCTGTTCATTCAATCGGTCCAGGATCATTTTATGATGTTCCGGGAACTCCTGAAGGCATTCCATCGTCTCTTCGGCCTCCATGGCCGTCGGATTGCTCTAGCTCTTGATCTTCCTTCTCTCCTCTCCGGCCCTCAGATCTTCTTCCCCGATTTCCCCTCTCCGGGCGAAACTCGACCCACACTGATCCCTACCCCTAAACAGCGCCTCGCCCTCCATTTCCTCACGATTGCCCGGGCACTGCCTCTGCTGGGTCTGGCCGGCACACGTGCCTCTAGGTCTGCTTTTAATTTTTTTTTTTTTTATTAGTGGACATTGTGGACAAGACATTTCGAGACTTTGGATTATATCATCTTCCTTTACAGAGTGTCGAATTTTGTGCTGTTACACAGCTAACTTATCACGCTCCTGTTAAGGCCTGGCTTTAGGCTTGGAGAAAATCTACTTCAGTTTTGTCTTTATTTCAAATCACAGTTCCCAGTCTTAAGCTATTTTCCTTACTCCTAGGGCATGGGCCTTCTGTGATCTCTACTAAATGCCTGAAGCATTCACCAATGTCTGTACTCTAGCTAGGTACAAACGCCAATATTTTTCCAAGACTGTTTGACTTCCCAAATCTTTTAAGCTCCCAGTGTCCTCGTAGGTGCTTTCTGTCAATGCTTCTAGAATCATGCTCTGTGGAGACCAGGAGTCCATTCAGATTTCTATAGTTGTCTCTTGCAACATCCTCCTCCTTTCCTACAAGTCCCAATGGACTTGGCAACTCCAAAATTGATCTCTGCTTCCTAAGCTCAGTGACACTAGTATTCCCTGTTTAGGATCTACCTTCCTGCACTACAGCCCAAAAACGTTCCCAGGGAGAGGGTCTGGGTAAATATAGGACTCCCTTCTTTTGTTTCCCTGTTATAAGGACATCAGCTATTTTGTACATTTTGTCCAGATTTTATAGTTGTTTATGGTAGGAATTTTAAGTCCAACACCAGCTACTTTGTCATTCTCAGTACTAGAAATCAGTGAAAATTCTAGAATCCTTGTATCTACATCCTTCAGCATTTCCCCCAGGGTATAGTGTAAAAGTATGGGAGCAGCACTTGAAGAGTCTAAATAGTTATTTTTTCCTTTTTGATTTCCACAAATTGGGTTGGTTTGTTTATGCCATCAATTTTCTTTCCACTTTGCAAAAGCTGTTATTAACATCCACTACAGCAGAAAAACAGTATATGATCCTACCTCTAATTTTTAAAGTTTCTGAAAGAAGAAAATATGCAAATAGATTATCCAAATAATTTCTGTTTACATATCAACCCTGACATTAAAGCATCATCCTTATTTTCTAATATTTGTTTATTTAGCTTTTCAGATCTCTCTTTTATCTCCCCAACTAAATTATACATTACCAAAGGGCAAGGATTATGACTTCTACTTCTTTACCTCTCTTATGGGACCTAACACTTCTACTATACACAAGAAATAAATGTCAAATGATTATACTTGTTATCACCATTCATTTATATCTATACTCTTAATAGGTCTTTATTCTGAGTCAAACATGAAAACTACTGGTGATATAATACCCGAAAGAAAGAAAGTAAGGAAAGTGGCATACTCAGTTATATTTTCTCTACTTATGGACACAGCAAGTTCCTGCAGTTGGTGGGTAAGCTTATCCAAAAGACTGTGCTCCTCCTCTTTTTTCTGATTATAGTTCCCGACAGGTGCAGGTTCATCAGCCTATGAGAGAATATAAGTTTATTTCACTGAAAAACTGATTTCAGTTTCCAATTATATTTATTTTAGAAGGGAAAAAAACACTCTAGTAAGTTCTAGAAGGCAAAGTAAATGTCAACATGAGACAAGGCCTCCCTGAGAGAAATAATATTAAGAGAAACGTAGATTATTATGTTGAGATGTAACCCGAAAGAAAAATGATATGACCTGGTTTTGTGCTGTCTTCTTGCTAGCTAATCTGACCCTCAATGGTCAGCAAGAGCGAGGTACCAAACAGAACGTGAGTTTCGGAGTCAAAAAGACAGGTGCCAGTCCCAAGTTCTGCCGTTTAGTGGCAGTGAGACACTGAGGAAACTGCTTCACTTTGGGGAGCCTCAGTTTCCCCACCTGTGAAACAGGATAACTAGACTTTTAAATTTAGGGTCAGCCTGACTCCTAAAACCAAGAGTTTTATGTAACTGGAGAAATCCAGAAGAGGTGCCCAGATGCAGTAAAGGAGAGTGATACACGCGTAGGGAGGTGACTTTTAGATGCCTCCCACTTGACATGCTCCATGAGTATCTGGCCCTGGACACTGAGCTGAAGCTCAGGCTCAGATTGAAAGAAAAAATCCTGAAGGGACTTCCAAGAGTAAATTCTAGTTCCTCCTATTTCTGCAGAGTCACCGATACTAGAGCTGCCATGTGATGCAAGCACTTTAGCACTTACGCTTGGGCCAGATTATGCACCCTCCCCACAGTGTCATTAAAATTAAAACAACCCTAGACTGTAAAGCATAAAACTTACATGATGCAAAAATAAAAATAGCCTCTTCCTGGATTGTCTGAGTCCTCAACGCTGGGTAAGCTCACCAGAGCTGAACTTGCCTCAGCATTTAGAGCCCTGGCTTTTTGGCTCCAGAGCACAGCGTCAGTGTGCCAGGGGCAAGTCAGCACTGGCGGCACTTAGATTTCACCACCTCTAAGGCAAGCCCAGGGATGTAACCACTCTAATGAATTCCCCCTTCCTGAAAATGTCTGTATAAAAACAGATGTTTTGTAATATCATTAACCATAATACTTACTTTGTTCAACTTTTGAAGAGCATTTTTATTTTCATCTATTGCCTGTTTTAATTGGATACACCTAAATTTTCAAAAAGAAAGGAAAAAGTATGAATTTTTCATTGTCAGACTAGACAGTTATTTTATGGAATCATACGTAAATCTTTAAGCAGGCAAGGCAATTAGCTATTACACGAACGATGTTGCAAAATTCACCTGTAACTGCCTTTCTACCCACCAGCTCGGGTGAGACTCACACGCTCTAAGGCACACAGATATGACAGCCAGGGCTCAGAAAGCTTACGTGACTCTGAGCTTCAGTGTCCTATCTCAAAAATTAGGAAAGCACTGGACTTCAAATTACTTCTTCAGCTCTGAAGTCCCATGAACTGAGGACCTAGCCAAGAAAACAAGACTAATGGCGATAGTAACAAAGTTTATTTGTTATAAACACAAATGTGTTTGTGTACAATGGTGTGCATTTCACAAGCACCACCTCACATGAGCCTCATACCAACTCACTCCAGCAGAAGGGAGTGAGGTTCTAAGGAGCGGTTGCAGCTAGTCAATGATGGAGTAACATGTGAGGGCAGAGTTTAGGATTCTACAGCTGGCCTCTGCCCACCACAGCACATTCTCCTTTTGAGTGTGGCCTACCTAGACGGGTACGCTGTTTTACTTATTCCACAGACAGCTCAGGTAGTTTAGCTTAAGTCTTAGACCCAAATAAGAAGGATAAAAATGACTGAATATGGGCTATGTCTAACAGTGATAGTTATCAAAATTCAAATGCTTTCTCAAACAATAACCTACAAGAGTCAATACTTTTTATGCTCTTTGAGTAATTTTTTTTCCTTACAGAAGCTAATGGCATGAAATAAGCAGCAAAAAAGGGGACAAAAATCCTTCATGAAGGAGGCAGAAACGAGAAGTGAAAATTGCAAACTGTGGTTGACCCTGTTAGTTACTTACTCCAAAGCCCTCATGCCACCAGGCTCTATGCTGGTGGGGTCGGTCCCACACTGACACCTAAGCGCTCAGAATCTATTGTGGGTAGGGTGGGTGTGTGGCCCAGCACTGGCCGACGCAACATGAAAGAAATATGTTGGGCACTGCCTCCTATTTTATCCTCCCTGGTGCAACCTGTGAAGAATCCTTCACCCTTTCTGGGTTTTTTTTTTTTTTTTTTTTTTTTAAGTTTATTTTGAGAAAGAGAGAGAACACAAGTGGAGGAGGGTCAGAGAGAAGTAGAGACAGAATCCCAAGCAGGCTCTGCAACATAAGCGCAGAGCCAGAGGCGGGCCGAACCCATAAACCGTGAGATCATGATCTGAGCCGAGATCAAGAGTTGAGATGCTTAATCGACTGTGCCACCCAGGTGCCCCTCCCCCTTCCTGTTTTTAGATGCCGATGCCTGGGGACTCTGTAAAGGTGAAGGGAGCCATCACCAACTAGATAAGGACTGACAGAGCACAATGACAGCAAGAGCTAGGCCTCGAAGACATCAACCGCCACTCATCCACCCTGCAGGAACTTACTTCCAGACTTTTGTGGAATGAGACTGACTGTTGAGCCACTTGGTTTAACAAGTGTCCTGTTATTCAGACCCAAAGAATCCTAACTGAAACCTAGAATTAAAAATTTCACTTAAGGGGTGCCTGGGTGGCTCAGTTGGTTAAGCATCTGACTTCAGCTCAGGTCATGATCTTACGGTTTATAGTTCAAGTGCCACATCGGCCTCTGTGCTCACAACTCAGAGCCTGGAGCCTGTTTCAGATTCTGTATCTCCCTCTCCCTCTCTGCCCTCCCCCACTTGTGCTCTGTCTCTCAAAAATAAATAAATGTTAAAAAAATTTTTTTTTAATTTCACTTAAGAGTAGAAAACTATTTTTATATAATATGCAAATAAAACAAATTATTTATTATAATGATCTCCCTCCTATCTATAAAATTACTGAAATCCTCAAACTGTTCAGATATTTCAAGATTTCGGGATCAGGGTAAAAACTCAAGCACACGTTCATCTTCACCACCTCCTGAAGCCCCACAAAAAAATGATAAAAACATTTTAATAGGTAATAAACCCTGAATGTTGGAGAATGAAAGAAAGATCATCTGTCAACAAGACATTTCAACAAATTTCTGCTCCATGGAAAAGAGATGGAAGCATGTTCTTCTATAAAGAGGAAGAGGTCCCTAAGAGGAACAAAATCTGCCAGGGAGAGACTCCATGATTTGGGTCAGCATGTAGGAAGGGTCCGGGAGTGATGGGTAATTAAGATGTGTCTAAAGGGATATATTATGATTTCTACAGATGAGGACATCCACAGTGGCTGGGATTTGCTTTATACATTAATTACGTGATGATACTTTATATTATGTTATGTCATATTAATTAAATGATATCCATAACATCTAAGCTATAAAAGCAATCAGTCTTTTTTTTAATGTTTATTGTGGGGGGCAGTAACAGGGAGAGGGACA